GTATGTATGTATGTATGTATGTATGTATGTATGTATGTATGTATGTATGTTTAAATATATTTTAAATATATTTTTATCATTTATTTATGTATTTTTATCATATACAACATATATATGGCGTGATGTATTTATTTAAACAATTATTGAAAAATATGTTCTAGATAAATCAAGAATTTCTTCAAGCCTTTTAACTGTAAAATTGATACCAAATTTTTTTAACAAAAGAATTGAAAATACTTCGCAAAATTTATAACATATAATTATAAATTATACAACATATAAAGTATAGCAGTAGTTCATAGAGTTTCATTTCTTGTTTAATTCATCATCCGAAATTTTCTAATAAGATGTAATTATCTGATTATTGTGTCGTGCATGATTTTTAACTGAGAAAGAGGAAGAAGCACGTCACGCGTGGTCAATATAATGTTTTGACTAATATATTTTATTGCTGAATCAGAAACAGTAATCATTTAAATAAATTCCCAATTGACCTTGCCTAGTAAAACATTCGATGTGTTATATCCCCTTTAAGCGCGTTATACACATATATATGTGTTTGGACCAGATCTGCCGCGAAGGGCTTTGTTAGATCATTGATGGAACTTTCCAGTCGTGAAATTGATCTAGAATTATTCTGGAACATTTTGATGTAATAATGAAATAATTGTTTGATTTTTAAGTAATGCGAAAAAGTTTCATTCAACGAAACAGAAGATGTAAAAAGAATATTCCATTTAACGATAAAAATTACAAATTTTATATATTATAAATGTCCACGTGTCACTAAATATTGAGTTCTTATAATAGCGAGGAAATATACTTTTGCAGATTCATTGGCGAAGAAGCTACTTCGCTAGGGACGAAAGTTGAACTCACGGACGCACCTACATGGATCATTGATCCGATTGACGGCACGATGAATTTCGTGCACGGTCTGCCTCATACTTGTATATCAATTGCATTACTCATTAACAAGACTACCGAAATTGGGGTAGTTTACAATCCGATTTTGGAACAATTCTTCTCCGCTCGCAGAGGTCAAGGTGCATTCTTGAATGGAGCTCCCATTAGGGTTTCCAGAGAGAAGGGTATAAAAATTTACAGATTCTCATGTTATAAGTGAAGATTAAGTTTAATCTTTATCGTAGAAAATGAATTAGTTATTTGCTTGTATTTTCATTATTTTGAATATTTTTCTTGTTTAATTCATTTAAATCAAATTTCTTTTTCTTTCAGAATTACGTAAAGCTCTTGTAATGATGGAAATGGGCACAAGCAGAGATCCAGAGAAGATGAAAATCGTATTGGAGAATGCGAACAATCTTACTCCTCAAGT